TAGATGAAAACCGTGAGCCAGAAGAACGTGACTGTAAGGAAAATAAAAACATTTATATATTATTTAAATTGGTATATTTTTGATACTCTAATATATCTTTTGAATTCTATACTAGGGGATGAACATGACTTTTTTGTTCCGGAAGATTTGGCTTTAGTAATGTGGCAGGAAGTGTACGGTAGGGATCAACCTGAGGATATTCCATAAGTCCAAGTTAATCGTAACCATCCCTAAGTTAATTTGAATGATGATACAGTTTGTGTAGTGTGTAGAGATAATACACGAACACATGCACTTGTCCCTTGTGGTCACAAAGTGCTTTGTGAAGAATGTGTCAACCAGCTACTCGATAAGCGTTGTCCTCTTAGTAATACATAGTACACTTTAGAATAATCAATACATTTACAACTTCAAGAGCTGCCTAACCAAGTACTAGATGAAAACCGTGAGCCAGAAGAACGTGACTGTAAGGAAAATAATAACATTTATATATCATTTAAATTGCTATACTTTTGATACTCTAATATATCTTTTGAATTCTATAATAGGGGATGAACATGACTTTTTTGTTCCGGAAGATTTGGCCTTAGTAATGTGGCAGGAAGTGTACGGTAGGGATCAACCTGAGGATATTCCATTAGTCCAAGTTAATCGTAACCATCCCTAAGTTAATTTGAATGATGATACAGTTTGTGTAGTGTGTAGAGATAATACACGAACACATGCACTTGTACCTTGTGGTCACAAAGTGCTTTGTGAAGAATGTGTCAACCAGCTACTCGATAAGCGTTGTCCTCTTAGTAATACAGAGTAAACATTAGAATAATCAATACATTTACAACTTCAAGAGCTGCCTAACCGAGCACTAGATGAAAACCGTGAGCCAGAAGAACGTGACTGTAAGGAAAATAAAAACATTTATATATTATTTAAATTGGTATATTTTTGATACTCTAATATATCTTTTGAATTCTATACTAGGGGATGAACATGACTTTTTTGTTCCGGAAGATTTGGCTTTAGTAATGTGGCAGGAAGTGTACGGTAGGGATCAACCTGAGGATATTCCATAAGTCCAAGTTAATCGTAACCATCCCTAAGTTAATTTGAATGATGATACAGTTTGTGTAGTGTGTAGAGATAATACACGAACACATGCACTTGTACCTTGTGGTCACAATGTGCTTTGTGATGAATGTGTCAACCAGCTACTCGATAACCGTTGTCCTCTTAGTAATACAGGGTACACTTTAGAATAATCAATACATTTACAACTTCAAGAGCTGCCCAACTGAGTACTAGATGAAAACCGTGAGCCAGAAGAACATGACTGTACGGCAAATAAAAACATTTATATATTATTTAAATTGCTATATTTTTGATACTCTATTACAACTTTTGAATTCCATACTAGGGGATGAACATGTCTTTTTTGTTCCGGAAGATTTGGCTTTAGTAATGTGGCAGGAAGTGTACGGTAGGGGTCAACCTGCTGATATTCCATAAGTTCAAGTTAATCGTAACCATCCGGAAGTTAATTTGAATGATGATACAGTTTGTGTAGTGTGTAGTGATAATACACGAACACATGCACTTGTACCTTGTGGTCACAAAGTGCTTTGTGAAGAATGTGTCAACCAGCTACTCGATAAGCGTTGTCCTCTTAGTAATACAGAGTACACTTTAGAATAATCAATACATTTACAACTTCAAGAGCTGCCTAACCAAGTACTAGATGAAAACCGTGAGCCAGAAGAACATGACTGTAAGGCAAATAAAAACATTTATATATTATTTAAATTGCTATATTTTTGATACTCTATTACAACTTTTGAATTCCATACTAGGGGATTAACATGTCTTTTTTGTTCCGGAAGATTTGGCTTTAGTAATGTGGCAGGAAGTGTACGGTAGGGGTCAACCTGCGGATATTCCATAAGTCCAAGTTAATCGTAACCATCCGGAAGTTAATTTGAATGATGATACAGTTTGTGTAGTGTGTAGAGATAATACACGAACACATGCACTTGTCCCTTGTGGTCACAAAGTGCTTTGTGAAGAATGTGTCAACCAGCTACTCGATAAGCGTTGTCCTCTTAGTAATACATAGTACACTTTAGAATAATCAATACATTTACAACTTCAAGAGCTGCCTAACCAAGTACTAGATGAAAACCGTGAGCCAGAAGAACGTGACTGTAAGGAAAATAATAACATTTATATATCATTTAAATTGCTATACTTTTGATACTCTAATATATCTTTTGAATTCTATAATAGGGGATGAACATGTCTTTTTTGTTCCGGAAGATTTGGCTTTAGTAATGTGGCAGGAAATGTACGGTAGGGATCAACCCGAGGATATTCCATTAGTCCAAGTTAATCGTAACCATCCCTAAGTTAATTTGAATGATGATACAGTTTGTGTAGTGTGTAGAGATAATACACGAACACATGCACTTGTACCTTGTGTGTCACAAAGTGCTTTGTGAAGAATGTGTCAACCAGCTACTCGATAAGCGTTGTCCTCTTAGTAATACAGAGTACACTTTAGAATAATCAATACATTTACAACTTCAAGAGCTGCCTAACCAAGTACTAGATGAAAACCGTGAGCCAGAAGAACATGACTGTAAGGCAAATAAAAACATTTATATATTATTTAAATTGCTATATTTTTGATACTCTATTACAACTTTTGAATTCCATACTAGGGGATTAACATGTCTTTTTTGTTCCGGAAGATTTGGCTTTAGTAATGTGGCAGGAAGTGTACGGTAGGGGTCAACCTGCGGATATTCCATATGTTCAAGTTAATCGTAACCATCCGGAAGTTAATTTTAATGATGATACAGTTTGTGTAGTGTGTAGAGATAATACACGAACACATGCACTTGTACCTTGTGTGTCACAAAGTGCTTTGTGAAGAATGTGTCAACCAGCTACTCGATATGTGTTGTCCTCTTAGTAATAGAGAGTACACTTTAGAATAATCAAAACATTTGCAACTTCAAGAGCTGCCTAACCAAGCACTAGATGAAAACCGTGAGCCAGAAGAACATGACTGTAAGGCAAATAAAAACATTTATATATTATTTAAATTGCTATATTTTTGATACTCTCATATATCTTTTGAATTCTATACTAGGGGATGTACATGACTTTTTTGTTCCGGAAGATTTGGCCTTAGTAATGTGGCAGGAAGTGTACGGTAGGGATCAACCTGAGGATATTCCATAAGTCCAAGTTATTTTAGTGAGAGGTTGGCTAATTCTTTTTTTGTATTTACTTCTATTGCTTTTTACCTGACGTTGTTGTGGTTTTTTTTTTTATTATTGTTTTATAGCAACGTTATTATATTATTTTTAGTTTTGATGTTACCTATCATAAAATTAAATACTCATAGACGTTATAAGTTTTTTTTAATATATAGGTACCTTATAAAGTGTTTTTTTTAGTGTTTTATGAAATATGTACTTGTGTGATGTTATCGTATTTATTGAGGGTAAACAGTAACCACAATATTTGAAGCAGTCACTTTTTGTAAATAATATATTATATATATTACAATTTGTGTCTCAAACGTACCAGAATTAAGATGATTCAAAAATGATAGGCCATTCAAAAATATTTTAATGATTATTACTCATTATTATTTTGAGTATCATGCTGTATGATCATCAATATAAATATTATTCTGTGATATCTTGCTATGATCACATATCGTGCTTACTCCTAATAATATGGTAAACATGACAAATATAAATCTAAGTTACTGGCAAAAATATCATACTTTACTGATCACGAAATTATTATCATTGTTTACAAATAATATTGGTTTTGTGGAGTACGATAGTATTATTTTTATTTACGATATTATAGTCTATGATGATATTCACCAAGATATAACGCAGTGTACACTAAGTACACTAAGTAGTGGACTGCAGTTATGCAGCATATATTTAATTGTTGTTCCCGGATTTAAACACTTTTTAAATTTCTTTTCCAAATTGTTATGTATTTCCCATATTCCACTGAACCTTCGTATATAAGATACATAGTTTACAGCGCTATAACCAACGGCCCCAAATAGCTAATATCTGTGAACAATTAAAACATTTTTAAAATTATTCATTTTTATTATCATTCCTGACTATTCATTTTTTTATCTTCAAAATTAATATAAATTGAAAGTTACTAAAATCAGGGTTTTCTGTCCTATCACTGTAGCAAATTTATGCTTTTGATTATGATTGAAAAATATACATTTTCATATCTTATGGCCATCATCATAAAACAGTATTATCTAAGTTTATTAAGTATTAAACTATACTCACAGATTGCCTTCAACGTTGACTTCAGTGGGAAACTTCGTCAAAATAAATGTTTGATTTTCTGAGTAGGAATCAGTTTCGATTATTAAATGTTGGCCTAATTCTTGCTTACTTATTGCCATAACATCATTGTATTTTGAACACTCTTTAACTTTTTCTTTTGTATAATTTTTCAAATCATTTTCTAGATCTTTAAATCTATTACTGGACTTTAAAATGATTGTTGGACATGCATATTTTTTTGATGCACTTGGTTAGGACAATTAATAAATTCAGTAGCCGACGGGACGTCTTTTAGTAAGGACGTACAAATAAAAAGAACATTACACTCTTTATTTATCAAAGCAACATCAGTAACTCCTTTGTCTTCTGTAAACAATTCCTTAAGAATATTTATTCTTTCTTTATATATATCAAGACGTGGACCACCTGAAGCCAATTTCTTGCAAAAACGTAAAACAGTATTTGTTTGTTCTTCAACAAATTCCTTGTATAAATTGCTGTCTGTGTATGCTATAGTTATAATAAATGCGACTGAATCGAATGGACATGTGTTACTAATTAAATATCGTTTTTTATAACGATAGAGGGGTTTTTAAATTACCATTTAATAATAAACTTTCATGCTTAGACCTTATGTTTCGATCACATACAACTCGTTCAATCTCAGGTGTTGGTTGCATATACTTTGTGGGTCTGCTTTTTGATTTTAGACTTTTTTTTAAGAACACCTTGTATGTCGTTGTTAGGGATTTCACTGGTTTTACTTTCATGTATGATCTGGGAATTGGCAAATGTATCAATGAATGTAATTTCTTCATTATCGTCTGAAATTGAAGATGTACTTAAATTATCAAATAATTGTTTTGCTATGTTTATGTTTGCTTCATACTCAATTTGTGTAGCAGTATTCTTAGAAGTGGGGCATATTTTTTGTCTTTTATTATTACCTTTCGATGTTAAGCTTGTAATTGGTTCTTCACCTTTACCACGCCAATTTTCTATATCATCATCAGATGATAAAAAAAGGATTATTAGACACACAATCACTTTCAACTGACGATATAGTAGTTGTTGGACTCTTATCAATAGCATTATTTCTTAGTTGTGAACTGCGAAATAGTTTTGAGTTACAATCAATGCTTTGGATGTGACGAAGTATGAAACGGTCAGCGGTCATCGGGCGGCTAGCATGTCTTAAAATTAGATTTTTAGCTCATTAAAATCGCCTTCAACCGGAGCTGATGTAGCAATTTTAAATGGCGAATTAAATATATGCTGCATAACTGCAGTCCACTACTTAGTGTACTTAGTGTACACTGCGTTATGTCTTGGTGAATATCATCATAGACTATAATATCGTAAATAAAAATAATACTCTCGTACTCCACAAAACCAATATTATTTGTAAACAATGATAATAATTTCGTGATCAGTAAAGTATGATATTTTTGCCAGTAACTTAGATTTATATTTGTCATGTTTACCATATTATTAGGAGTAAGCACGATATGTGATCATAGCTAGATATCACAGAATAATATTTATATTGATGATCATCATACAGCATGATACCTACTCAATATAATAATGAGTAATAATCATTAAAATATTTTTGAATGGCCCATCATTTTTGAATCATCTTAATTCTGGTACGTTTGAGCCACAAATTGTAATATATAATTTATATTTATAATATATTATTTACAAATAGTGACTGCTTCAAATATTGTGGTTACTGTTTACCCTCAATAAATACGATAACTTCACACAAGTACATATTTCATAAAACACTAAAAAAAACACTTTATAAGGTACCTATATATTAAAAATAACTTATAACGTCTATGAGTATTTAATTTTATGATAGGTAACATCAAAACTAAAAATAATATAATAACGTTGCTATAAAACAATAATATAAAAAACCACAACAACGTCAGGTAAAAAACAATAGTAGTAAATACAAAAAAAGAATTAGCCAACCTCTCACTAAATATTGTTCGCAGTTTAATTCGTCAACATAAATATTAGTAAAATAATCACGTTGTGTTTTTATATTAATTATACTTAAAACAAAGGACAATATTTAGGTAGGTATATACAAATTAATATTTAATTACAATTATTTACAAAAGTTAAAGTTTTGCTCGGAACCTACGTTTTAAAATACCTATCGTTACATTGAATTAAAAATTGTAAGACGTTTATCTATTGAATTACTATGTTATTTGTAAGCTTTAAAAAAAGGTATGTATAATGATTAATTAAATTATACCTACTTAGAATCAATAAACATAAACATAAAAGGAATAAAAGATAATAGATTTCATTCTTGAATATATTGTAATAAAACAGTTATATTCATGTGTTTTACAAAATCACCTTAATTTATATTTCAAATTTTTAAGTATAAATTATATTTTAATATTTAAATACATTTGAATTACTATAGATTATACCTAATTTATAAAAAAATTGCTATTACCTACGTTTTGTAATATCGTTACATTTATTTAAAAATTGTAAGACGTTTATTGAATCACTATGTTATACTTATGTTAAAGGTAGGTATAATTATTAATTATTATATGAAAAAATGTAACTGATTTTTAGCTAAGTTAAGTTGACACTAAACTTAACTTACATTGTTTCTATATTAACTTAACTTAACTTAACGAGTTTAACAAAAAATAGTTAACTTGCCCATAGCCTTGCATATTTAATAACAATTTACCTACTATAAATCATACCTATACTTTAAACAAGTTTTTTTTCGGAACCTACCTTTTGTACAAATACTTAGGTAGGTAAATCGTTACAAATGTTTAAACAAATTCAATCATAAATGTCATTCTCTGTCTGTCATCTAACGGTGCGCAGGTAGGGTTGTCCCCCTAACTTTAAAATGGAAATTGCTGGGCAGCGAGTGATTTGCAAATTCTGAAAATGAGTTTGAAAATTATAGCAAACTATTTGTAAAATATTGGCACCGGTCCGAGATCGATCGGACGATGTGAGGGGCCCAATTTCACTGACATCTCTAAACCTGCACGGTTAGCGAGACCAACTGCAGTAATTACAAGGGTAACCACCAGGCATCGAACCGACAGTGCACGGCTAGGGATCGTGCTATAAATAATACACTCCACCGAACCGACTTTAGGGCCTCGAGACAACAAAATGATTGAAATAAAAATTGTGCAGCTCAATTTAAATAGCCAAAGCATAGCCCCCTGCGCACGAAACAAGGTTGCAATTCTTTAGTCCAGAAGCCAGTTTTCAGGTATGTAAGGCCTACGGTTTTGAGGACTGTCGGGTATCTGCGGACAAACCAGGAGCGGCCATCATCATAATGGATATGAACCTGCAGATTATTGAACTGTCGAAAATCACATCGACTCATATAGCAACTATTAGACTAGGCCAGTGGTGGCCAAACTTTTTTTACCTCGGGACATAAAAAATCCCACTGAATTTTAAAAACACGACATTCCGAGTCGATTTTCCTTTTTTTTTTACGTAAATATAAAATATTATAGTTCTTTTGCGAGCCAGATATTAAATGATGGCGGGCCGTAGTTTGGCCACCGCTATACTAGGCCAAGGTAGGCGGTCCCTGATTGTAGTATTGGCATATTTCAAATAAAGCTTACATACTAACAATTTTACCGAGATACTAAGGACAATTCTCGAGGAAAGTGCAGATACTATAATCGAGGCTGACACAGTGACACAAACGGGAACTTGCCAAGATGGTTCAGTAAAGATTCCAAACATAAAAGTTACTTACGTATCTTACGCTGATTTTAATAATGTATTTACTTACGTGGAATCTTGTTTTAAATTTTCAATTCTTAGATATAAAAGTTCAACATTTTATACATTTTTAACTACAAGATAATTATTCAATTTTAAATTTGATAAATTTTGTCAAAATTTGATCTTTAAATACTTATAAAAAAAATTGTGCCTACGTATTTTTAATATTTTACAGCTGCTATTGTAACAATATATCAGAAGCCTTGAGTTAAATTTTTACACTTTTTTTCCCAACAGATAAAACTTTATTGATATTCATATAAAAAAAAATTAAAAAATAAATTGTCCGTAAAGAGCTCAAAATAAGTCAAAATATTTTTAAAATGTTATGGTGTATAGAAAAATGCTAATATAAACATTCAGTCAAAATATCATCTAATTACGGTAATTTGTTTAAGAGTTGCGCCCAAAACCAAAATCGATTTTTTCGAAAACAGATTTAATCAAATTTAATTATTTATTAATTTCTTTTTAAGGAATAATTATTTTAAGATTAGTTTGTTTTTTTAAAGAGATTTAAAAATTTTAATTGAGTACTCTTCTGTTGTTCATATAGGTATAGTTATTATTGGTTTTTTAACTTTACATAATTGAGATTATTTTGGTTCATTAATTTTAATATTTGGGCATGGTTTATGTTTTTCTGGTTTGTTTTGTTTAAGAAATATTTGCTATTTACGTTTTAAAAGTCGTAGAATGTTTTTAAATAAATTAAGATCTAAATTAAATTGTTGTAATTCAAAAATGATTAGCTAAAAACCATTGGCTTGAAATTGTCTCCACATATTTATATTAGTCTTTCAGACATTAGATTTACTTAAATATTTGAGCCCATCGTTATTCAGGGACGTACAAAAGAAATAAGATTCGGTGGATGTTTTTAGTTTTTCGATTTTTGAAATTGAGATGTTGAAAATTATATTTATATCAGTCTATACGTAGTGTAGTCTTATATATTATGTTGATAATAGGTATACTTTTATTTTATGTATAATGAGTCCTAATAAATTATTATTATGAATTTTATTTTATGCCTCACCTATAGTATGCCAATTGTACAAACCACACCATTAATAAGATAAAACTACTGAAATCATATTTGAATTCGTCATGAAGTTAACTTGAAAACGGCTTTTTCACTCTTTTAAATTAAACTCCAAAACCAATCATATTTCAAATTAAATTTTAGATTCTCAACTGAGCAATGAATCTATTAATTTAACAATTATATGGGTTTTATTAACAAAATAATAATGCAATTTTTCTTTCTTAAACAAAAATAGGGTGGGTAAGTGGATGTCACTCTGCTGTATAGTAGGTTACAAGTGGGTCACTGTAATGAATGGTGTTAAATTTGAATTCAATGATATCATATCATTGTATAACAAAAACGATTATGAGCGAAAACGGTCAGTCAGCCTATGATATTACTAAGTATATTTGATGATATTATTTTGAATAAAGTAATTTTTATATTTACCTATTTACGACTTACGTGGAACCTTGTTTTAAATTGTCAATCCTTAGCTATAAAAGTTGAACATTTTATACATTTGTAACTACAAAATAATTATTTAATTTTAAATTTGATAAATAAGAAAAACGTTACATGTGAAATCGAGTGAATATCAAATGTAGTAAAAATATGAATTTCAAATGTTCATAAAAATTTAATTTGAGTTTCTTGTAGACATTTTTTTTTTTGATAAAGGTAGTCAAACTTATGACGAATCTTGTATTACATTTTAAAATCTTAGACTTAAAAGGAAAATTTTCCATCAATTTCTAACTCAAAATAATTTGCAAATTTTCGTCATTTTTACGTATTTTGTCAATATTTGAACTTTAAATGCTTATAAAAAAAATTGTGACTATGGATTTTTAATTTTTTTCATCTGCCTTTGAAACAATATACTAGGAGCCTTCTATTACATTTTCAAGCTTTATTAACCAACAAATAAAATTTTATTGATATTTATAGAAAAAAAAACTAAAAAAAATGGAAACTGAAAATGTCCGTAAAGAGCTCAAAATAAGTCAAAATATTTGGAAAATGTTAAGGTGTATAGAAAATGCTAATATAAGCATTGAGTCCAAACTGCATGTACCTATACTGTAATTTGTATTACAGTGCACTAAAGACCAAAATCAATTTTCTCGAAAACAGATTTTGTGTAAAAATTCCAGTTTTTCCTTAATTTTTCTTTTGTTTTTCACGTCGCTTTTGAAAACTACTGAGAAATGTTTACTTTTCACCTCCCCAAAGTACCAACTAGATTCACTTTCCTATCAGAAAAGATACTGTTGAAGAATATCTAAGAATTTTTATTGTACTAAAAGGTGATGTGACACAAAAAAAAAAAAAAAACACACATCATTGTGAAATCAATATAATATTTATCTTTTCACTCAGTATCTAAAAATGTTTACCTATTTATCTGAAAATTATATTTTTTCGTATTCAATATTTCCTCCAAAAATCGGTCTTCTATTGTGATTCCTAAGTACTAATAAATAATTTTGCATGTGAATCTTTTCATTCAAGATATATAATAGTAGTTTTGATCATCTCCATCCGAATCTCCATTTATTCGTGAAAGTTTTAAAAGATTACAGACCAAAACAAATATTAAAATCAGAAGAATCAATGTAGACAGAAAAAACAATTTCAAATTATAAATTTATACACACACAAAACAATTAATATACACGAGGAGAAATTTCATGTTTAGAGTTTATCTCAAAAGTATATCACAAAAATAAACGTAAATAAATATGATTACATAACTTTTTATTTTTTTCGATCAATTTTTGTTTTGAGTTGTTTATTATGATTTATTTTTATTTTTTATTTATATAACTGAATTGATTTTTGTATATGTATTAATTTATTGCAAGGCTGATATTTTATTTTATATCGAAAGTACCTATACAAAGTATTAAATACATACTTTTTTCTACTGATTTGTTTTTTTTAACATTATTTTCATTTTCATTTTTTTACCTATAAACCGAAGTCATTTCGTCTTAAGTATTTAATGATGTATTATAAAATTATCAGTTTTATATTTTTAAAAATGAAGATGATTTTTTGTAAAAATAATTTTTTTATTGTTGTTAATTCTATTTTTGTAGAAGTTAACACGAATTTTGTAGAAGTTAAGACTTATATCTATGTAAGAGATTACCTACGTTTGTAGGAGTTAATTATGCCCTAATTATTGTAGTGATCCCTCACTAACGCTTATATTTGAGTGACCGACGTCTGTAGTTGGACCAGGTTGATCAAAAGGAATAAGGTTTTTCAAAGAGAGACAAAGGCGCAATGTTAAATGAAGTATTTATTATAATTGAGTTAAACTTGTTATAAAATAAAATAAAATAATTGTTACAAAATGTTATAGAAGTTTGAGGACAGCACGTTAAGTAACTGCCCGAGAACTTAGTTAAATCTACTTGTAGTTACTGGGAATGCACTTAGTCTGGCGGCGATGTAGAGTGCGCGGACTCTACGACCAGGTAAGTACTACATGTAGGGATGTGAGACTAATTCTGATTCTAAGGTGTACAGAGACTCATATTTATATGGTTCTCTGTACTCCCTGTTATGCACGGTAGAGACTAGGAGGTGGACAAAAAAAGGCGAGTCGGCAGCTTGTTGTTTATTGTAGCTGCCAAAAAGTAGTTTGCGACCAAAAAAGGTAATAAAAATTTGCAATATCATTTTAACTGATTCTTCTCACGTCTTTGATTCTTGGAACTCGTAAAACGCAATAGTGTTTGTGTAGACCATATGCCTTCCGAAATATCATATTAAAATGTGAAGGCCGTGGCTTTAATGTAATAAAGTAAAAAAAATAGTGAATCCAGTGGCGTAATTTAGTTAACATTTTTGGTGTTGCAAAAAAAAAAAAAAAAAACATTAAAATTAAATAAATAAGTATATTCAACAAGTGTTATTATTTATTTATATTATAATTTACAAAATTTTTATTTTAAACTTAATTTTCGGCTATTCACAGAGGAATTATTGTTGAATTCATCAATGACTTCTTCTATATTGACATTCCTTTTTTTTTCAATTTGTAATGTACCAAGATTACTTAATCGTTCTTGACCCATTGTGGTCCTCAGATAAGTTTTAAGTCTTTTTAGACATGAAAATGATCTTTCACAGCTGGCAGTTGTAGTGGGTATAGTAAGAAATATACGAATAATTGATGTTAAAATCGGAAATCCATTTTGAAAATCATCATTCTTAATAAATTCTATTTTCTTTGCCATAGTACTAGTTGTTTCTATGTTGGAGTATTTCAATTTAAACATTCTATTATAAACTTCAATTTCAGTATTCAGATGTTTTAAATCAAAGTTGTAGGTGTTACAAACAATATTTAATGCTTCGTGGGGTGGATTATCATTGACTATTATTTCTTTTAATCCATTTAATATATCTAGCTGGTTTTCTTGAAAACGTTGTTGCATTTCTCTAATTATGATATCTAAGACTGGATAGTAAATTTCAATACGATAATAATCTTTTAAATTCAAAGTTTGAGGCCCCTTTTCCCCACCACCTAGCTTATATGGAACATTTTTTTTTCGAGGTATTTTGGGAGAATCAATGTTATTTGTTTTAATCATCTCCATTGCCTCATTCCATTTATTATTAAATTCAATTTCTGATCTCATCTGTTTTATTATATTTATAGTACTATTAGACATGTCAATTACAGTAGCATAATTAATATTCACAGACTGTAAATATTTTGATAAAATATTTGTATATTCCAAAATATCCTTTAAAACAATCAAACAGAGTACAAATTCAAAGTTTTGTATATTATTTAGTAATGATTTAGCTTCAGATCCGGAGTTAATGTCATTATCAGAAATAGTCTGTAATTACTTACCAGTACTAGACTTAAATTTTTTTATAAAAAATTCTGTTATTTTTTGTTTCCCCCTTTTATTCGAGGGCATCGGCGTAGAACTCATTGTAAGAAATAATTAAAAGTATAACAAATAAAGTAAAAAAATACACAAAATTACACGAAATAATTTAAAAATTTTTTGTATAACAGGTGGCAGTCTGTTGTTGCATGTTTATTATATTATCTTTTTTGCTATCACTATTCACTATCTTATTACGATAATACAACACGAGCGTCTCACGCCAGCATGTCATTTTGGCATCCGGTGCGCGCGCATCACGTCGGCCTCTGGCATTGTTATCATATTATTTATTTCATGTTATACTTGGGGAGTACTACTTTTGTTCCACAAAACAATTTTCCACAAAACAATTTTCTTAACCCTGTGACCCACTTGGGGAGGTGTTGCACAGCAAGTCGGGGGATATTTTCGATTTGCGGAGCGGAGCGACGGCGCCGAGGAGCGTAGCGACGAGTGCCGCTAGCACCGCATCACTGCAACACCTCCCCAAGTGGGTCACAGGGTTGAGTAAATTGCATTTTTGTTGCACCGAGCCACCAATTTGAAAAAAACATCGTACAGTGATGCGGTGCTAGCGGCACTCGTCGCTACGCTCCTCGGCGCCGTCGCTCCGCTCCGCAAATCGAAAATATCCCCCGACTTGCTGTGCAACACCTCCCCAAGTGGGTCACATTGTTAAGAAAATTGTTTTGTGGAACAAAAGTAGTACTCCCCAAGTATAACATGAAATAAATAATATGATAACACTGCCAGAGGCCAGAGGCCGACGCGATGCGCGCGCACCGGATGCCAAAATGACATGCTGGCGTGAGACGCTCGTAATACAACAATGAACAACGTTTCGTAACGTTTTACCATAGACCTTATACCTAAGTATAAGGTCTATGCGTTTTACGTTCCGTACATGAAACGAAAAAACTATAAACTGATAACACTGCAATACTGATTTCTCGATTATAAGTTATAACAAGGTGAGGTAGTATTATTAATTATATTTATATTGTATTAAATACGGTGAATGGTGCGAAGGGGGGTATTACGAACTTGAATATTTTTTGGTGTTGCAAAACGATACCTTTGCAACACCTGAAAATTGTTTGGTGTTGCAAGTGCGACACTTGCGACACCCCAATTACGCCACTGAGTGAATCGACTCCGTCGGTTTACTACATTCCTCCCCTCGAAGCTGGAAGTCCCTGACTTCCTTAATGAAAACCATAAGGTTGTAATTTTGCATATTGGGCCTTCGGGCTATTTCTTGGTGTGAGTGGTAACTCGATTACGTCGTCGCTTCTATGCGTTGTTGGTTTATTAAGTTTTTCGCTTTCTTCTTGAATGTGGTCTGGAGACTTGTTTTTGTATGTTTCTGTTGTTTTTGTTTTAACACAGCGTATGATTGTTATCATCATCAGTATTGTAATAAAGCCTATGGCTATATATAATACATAATTAAATAATTGTTGTAAGTCTTGAAGTTGCTCGATTTTTGTGTTAATTTTATTCTGGTTGTCCAATTGTTTTTTAGAGTTGGATACTATATGTAAGTCGTCCATATTATTGGTTTTGACATGATAATCCTCCATTAAATTGTTGGTCTCTATGCGTGGTGAGTTGTGATTACGGTCTATCATTGACCGTGGGTTGAAATCCATATATTCGGATTTGTAGTCAACCTTACCCGGTATCAGTATGTCTCTGGTGGCGTAACCTTTGCAGGTTTCGTTGAGGTGTATAATTCCTACTCCTTTGAGTGTGTGGCTAGTCGATTCCTTGTCTTCATCACAGGTAACAAATAGTACGTCATAGTTAGTCACGTATATCCATTCATTTTTGAATCTCTTTTTATGAAAGATAGTTCTACCTATTTGCACATGCATCACTTCACAACTATTTGGAACTTTGGCTGGATCTTGCAATAATAGTACTTCGCATGTGGGTCGTATATTACGAGGATGTAAAGGATTACCTTCAGGACATAATAGGAAATCTCTAGCGTGTTTACAATGAGTGTAGTAAAATTCGTCATAAGTTGCATAATGTTCTTTAGATTTACTTATAGCTATATACTTATTACTAGGTTTTATATAAGCACAATCATTGTCAATACATACTGGTACAGGTATTAAATTATATAAAATAAAGTCGTTTTGATAAATTAATGGTAAAGATATTATAAAAACTAGGTTGTCGTTAGCATAATAAATAGCAATATCTGAGAGTTTCACCAGTTCGTAAATGTTAGTAATGTCTAAGTCAGTGGGTAAATCCGTCCCCCCTGGTAAAGATACTTTAATGTCTTTGACGTGTTCTAATAGCTCTTGTGGCGTTATTAAACTTGGGTGGATAACTCCTATTTTTGCTTGCTGTATAGTTTCTAATATCGTATTCGTTTCTAACATATGTTTTGTAATTAATAAGTTAACGTGTATAAAATGTTTTGTTAAATAATTTTTTATTTGTTGTTCTTTTGTAATGTTTGTGGTTCCGTTTGCGGATAACGTTAAAGGCAACATAGTTATGTTGTTGTGTGGTTCTAAAATATGTTGTAGTTCTACTACCTTAATTTGATCTTTAATTAGTTTATATTGTGATGTGTTTTTAGCTACTCCTATATTAAAGTTAAATTTTTGTATGCATTCTAAATTACAAATTCCGTATATCAACCTAGCGGCTTTTGTTACGAATTTAGTTAAAGCACTACGTTTAGTAATTACGTGTCCAATGGAATTTAAGACCTGTGTTTTCTTTCGGTGTAAATTTTCAACTATAGCGGTAGCTGAACTGAGTAAATTGTCACAATTAAAATTATTGGTTACTGGGTTGTGCATGTATTCAATGCACAATACTTTCGTATTTTCTATTACTAGGTTTATGTATTCGAATTCGTTATTATATTTAGTAAGATTAATATACGCAGTGAGGTCCCATTGAGATGTTACAAGTTTCAACGGTCCTCGGTTTTCGTAGTAGATACCAGAATGTTGATTTAAATGTTCATCTGTGAATCGTAATGTTCCTGACGTGAACGGTATCGTTAGGAGTAATATTCTGAAAGTTGTTATTAAATTAATAATTTCGTTTTGTTTATTTTATTGGTCAGTAGTTGTTGCTTCTTATCGAATATTTCTAAGATAAAGAAAAATATTCCCTTAAAAAAAAAACTAAACCTAATTATATAATAGTAAGATAAATCCAATAACCTCCAAATAATAAAAAAAAAATAAAAATGTGATTATATATATATAAAAAAAAAAATCCATGTCCCATAAAATAAAGAAAAATTGCTATATCTTAAAGTTACGTAAATAGAATTATTATATTTTTTTTTAATTCATGAGGGCGTCGTTTATTTCTATAATTTTTGAATTAAAAATCGGTTTATTCTCCGCGGCTTGAAATTCTACGAAACTATCGTCTTTGACTGCATTACCGGTTTGCACTACTCGTATACGCGATAAACAGTCCGCGTTTGAGTGTTCCGGTCCTGCCCTATACTTAATATCATAGTCGTAGTCTGCCAACTGCAATCGCCAGCGCATTAGCTGGGACGATGCGTCTTTAATACCAAACAGGTATGTTAGAGGTCGGTGATCAGTTATTATAGTAAAATGTCGACCATAGAGATATGGTCTAAAATATTTCACGGCCCATACGATGGCTAACAATTCTTTTTGAATAACGCTATAATTATTCTCAGCTTTATTTAGTGTTCTACTCGCGTAAGCTATAGGTTGGTCCTTAGGTACGTCCCCTTGAGAAAGTACGGCTCCTATGGCATATTGCGATGCGACAGTACACAAGTTGAACTTTCCTGCTTCCCAGTCTGGGTAGACTAGTAATGGCGGGTTCATTAAAGCTTTTTTAAGTTCTTGAAAACTATGTTCGCAATTGTCAGACCGTATAAATGGTACGTCTTTTTTGAGTAAGTAGGTTAGTGGTTTTGCTGTTTTCGCAAAGTTATCGACAAAACGTCTGTAGTAGTTTAGTAATCCTAAAAATGATTTTATATCTTTCGCGTTTTTAGGTTTTGGATACTCTTTAATACATTTTAATTTATTTGGATCGGGTGACACCCCGTTCTCGTTAATTACATGCCCCAAATAGATAACTTCTTTCCGTAAGAAAGAACACTTTTGTGGTTGTAATTTTAATTTATGGATGCGTAATCGATTGAAAACCTGTTCGAGTTTCTGTTGGTGGTCATTTAAACTAGACCCGTGTACTACAATATCGTCAAGGTACGCGGTACACATTTCCTCAAGACCCATAAGAACAGATTTCATCGCGCGAGTAAAAGTAGCTGGTGCTGAGCTTAATCCGAATGGCATACGTAAAAATTCATAGTGACCGGATTTTGTAGAAAAAGCTGTCTTATGCATATCGGATGGATCTATGTTAATTTGGTGATATCCCGAAGCGAGATCTAGAGTACTAAAATATTTAGATGACCCTAGTGATTCGAGAATTTCGAGCAAGTTCGGTAGTCCGTATGCTTCGTTCTCGGTTACTTCGTTAAGCTTTCGGAAATCAACACAGATTCGTAATTTGGGTTTCCCTGTTGAATCCAAATTCTTTTTCTTTACTACTACTAGTGGAAAGTTAAATGGTGATTTAGAATCTCGTATTATATTATTATTTTTCATTTCCTTAATCTGTTTTTCAATTTCTTCTTGGTACGCCCAAGGTAAACGATACGGTCGTATATTAATTGGTTTCGTGCATCGCGGCGTGTTTATTGTATGTGTTACAACGTCAGTAGCGCTTAAATAGTCGCCTGGTAAGTAAAACAGGTCCGCATAGTTGCAACAGAGTTCTAAAATATTATCGCGTTCCTCTTTATTTAAATCGTCCGTTTTAATTTCGGTTTTTAATTTTGTTATACGGTCCGTTTCTTCATTGTCTATAAAGGATGCTTTAAGTACGGTTTCGTTGTACGGTTCCCATTCAATATGTCGCGTTGTTAATTCGTCAATAATAAAAGGTTCCTCGGAAATATTTATTATATTACTAATAATGTTATTTTTATTGACCGGACTTATGCTGTTCGCGATTATTACGTTTTCGTTTACGTCTTGTTTTTTTATAGTGACCGTGTCGTGTTTAATATTCTCGTCGTTTTTAATCAATAAAACGCAGTTACTACGCGGCGGTAATATAATTTCTTTAAAACCAGTTTCTTCTGGTATCGTTAATAGATTTTGGCTATAGTCCATGATAACCTTGTTTTGTTTCAAAAAGTTACGACCGATGATGCCCGACTCATTTATTGGAAAATCGCCAAAAACGACGTCGAATTTTATTAACACATTGACCTTGTTAATTTGCATAGTGGTTACCATAGTACCTATGGTAAAAATCGGAATTTCGTTAATGCCTTTTATGGTACGTTTTTCGGATTCGTTTACTACGACATGTCCTTCTAACGCGGTTATTTTAATAAGATTCATCTCCGCGCCTGAGTCGACTAATAATTTAATTTTACGAGGTTTGAAATTGTCGGATTCACATGTTATGTGTTCCTCTTCGAAATTGGCTACCACTCTTACGTGATTTTGACTGATCTCGTTCACGGTACGGCTCGTGCTAGGACTTTCGGTTTCTTTACTAGTGGTTTTTTTACTTTCATTATAAATGCGTTTTCTACAATCTTTTATGTTGTGATTCGTTTTTTTACAGTACGCGCAGAACCTGATTTGCCCTTGATACTCGTTTGCATAATGCCCCATTTTGCTACATTTATTACATTTAATATTTCGTTTATTCGCGTGTGTTTTCCCGTCAATTTTATTATTGTTAAAACGTCTATTTAAATTTCGTATATCCTCTTCTTCTTCGATAGCAAGCGTAATCGCTTCTTCGAGAGTAAGGACGTTTCGTGCCCGTAATAAACTTCTAATTGCTGGTTGCGCCCCGTTAATAAATGCATTGCGTGCCCCCGATTTATGTGTGTTTGCGACTGCTGCGGCGTCATTGTTATTTAATCCTACCGTTAGTGCGCTCACTAAATCGTGGTAACATTTTTCGGTGCGTCCGGCGAAGCTTTTAATATCTTCGTCGTACCTTTGTTTAATATTATATAAGTTTGTTTATAAAAACCCGATTGAGTGTGCTGACCCGAATACTTTTCGAAGATGCGCTTCGAGTGCAGGCCAGTCCGAAATTGTGCGGTAGCGTACGGCTTGAAATGCGTCCCCCTTTAAACTTGTTAGCATTCGCTTAAAAATCATTGGTTTAAGGTTTTCGTGGACGTTTTCCATAATATAGTTACAGTCAACTAGGTAAGATGCTAAGTCTGCCTCAGATCCCCCCGTAAAGGTCGGAATCATGCGTATCGCCGATTCAATTCCTAAAGTTACACTCATGATGGTTGTTTGTATAGTTTGTGGGTTGTATTTAATTATTTCCCAACACCTATTCGGACTCTCAGACATATACTAAAAATTATTTGCTTATACAACAACTTACAATGTATTCATTGCGATGGTCTGGTCCTTGATTGTCCTGCGCTGCGGCTGGTCTCACTGCTAGGCTCGATTGATTGTCGTCTTGTCTCGCTTGTCCTGATCTCCTTCTGTTGATCCTGACGTGGTTGCACTCGAGGTCCGCTGATGTACTGACTTTGGGTTGATGCCAAAATTCTTCTTTCAGGTGACCCCACACCTGACACCAAAAACGTGTAGTGATCCCTCACTAACGCTTATATTTGAGTGACCGACGTCTGTAGTTGGACCAGGTTGATCAAAAGGAATAAGGTTTTTCAAAGAGAGACAAAGGCCAGGGGCGTATTTACGGGGGCGGATCTGGGGACAGATCCGCCCCCATGGCTCTTTGAGATTGTATAATATAAATTATAATATTATGTACTAATTATTAAATTCTAATATATTATAGAATATAGATATTAATTGATAAGTTAGGTTTGATAATTATCAAAAAAAATATTTATGATAACAGAGGTTTTTGATATTATCATTAAATTTCTCGTAGCCACGGTTATAGTTAAATGGTTAATCTCACGGCTAGTCGAGAACGCAAGTCAATAGCAATTTGCAATTAGCAACTAGGTATATTTCGTTGGCTCCGTTCCTATGTTCATCCGGTCGGTCGTTCGTCGGTCGGTCATACGGTCTGTTTACCGTTACACAAATACACAATACGATTTGTCTATTTACTACAGTTCTTGTCATCCACCCCCTAGAAAAAATCCTAAATACGCCACTGACAAAGGCGCAATGTTAAATGAAGTATTTATTATAATTGAGTTAAACTTGTTATAAAATAAAATAAAATAATTGTTACAAAATGTTATAGAAGTTTGAGGACAGCACGTTAAGTAACTGCCCGAGAACTTAGTTAAATCTACTTGTAGTTACTGGGAATGCACTTAGTCTGGCGGCGATGTAGAGTGCGCGGACTCTACGACCAGGTAAGTACTACATGTAGGTATGTGAGACTAATTCTGATTCTAAGGTGTACAGAGACTCATATTTATATGGTTCTCTGTACTCCCTGTTATGCACGGTAGAGACTAGGAGGTGGACAAAAAAAGGCGAGTCGGCAGCTTGTTGTTTATTGTAGCTGCCAAAAAGTAGTTTGCGACCAAAAAAGGTAATAAAAATTTGCAATATCATTTTAACTGATTCTTCTCACGTCTTTGATTCTTGGAACTCGTAAAACGCAATAGTGTTTGTGTAGACCATATGCCTTCCGAAATATCATATTAAAATGTGAAGGCCGTGGCTTTAATGTAATAAAGTAAAAAAAATAGTGAATCGACTCCGTCGGTTTACTACATTATTTAGACCAACTATCTTTGCAACAAAATTAA